AAAAAAAAAAAAAAAAAAAAAAGAGATAAATTAATAATTATTATTATCGAGGCATTTGCTTTTTTATCCCTCCTGAAATACTAACCTGCAAATATCAGTTAAGTAATTAAAAATAGTGTAAGTAAAATATATTTTTAAATATTTTACTTATGTATGAAATGCGACATGGTAAAAATGAAAATGTGATTTAATTTGTTCAATTATCATATGGACTAGTTTATTAAAATTTTAAGAATATTTTTTTAATATTTCAGAGCTATGCCGTTCAATCTACAAAAAGATATCCTTCCAAAGTTCGTATTGTCGAAGTTGGTCCAAGAGATGGTCTTCAAAACGAACCTAATATAATCCCCACAGACGTTAAAGTAGAATTCATAAACAGGTTGTCTCATACAGGACTAAAAAATATTGAAGCTACTAGGTAAATAAATAATGTTTTAAGACGATTTTTAATAATTATTAAATAAACATAAACCTACTTTTTCAGTTTCGTTTCTCCAAAGTGGGTTCCCCAAATGGCAGATCATGCAGAAGTTTATAGGAAGATAGATAAAATTCCTGGATTATCATACCCAGTTCTAGTACCAAATATGAAGGGATTGCTCACAGCTGTAGGTTTTTAATGTGTATATTTAAAATTTAAATTAAATATTATTCTGGTTAAGATTTCATTTTTCATATTGAAAATTTATTTCTTAATTAGATGCAACATGATGTCAAAGAGATTGCTGTGTTTGGTTCTGCGTCAGAGGGTTTTAGTCGAAAGAACATTCATTGCAGTATTGAAGAGAGTTTAGGAAGATTTGAAGATGTCGTGTCGACAGCTCTAGATCATGGTATTAAAGTCCGTGGTTATGTGTCTTGTGTTTGTGGATGCCCTTATGACGGAGCTGTTTCACCACAAGATGTGGCAATGGTAAATTATAATATAACATGTATTTAAATAAAATAAAAAAATACTAAATAAAATATCATGTAATAGCAAGTTCATAATTCCATAAACTATTTTAAATACAGAAGCATCAAAGAAATTGATCATTATGAATGATAAAAATATTAAAAAATTGTATTTATTTATTTAACTTCTTCAAAAACTAAAATTGTGGAATTAAATGTGCCATTCAATTTAGAAGTTGCATTTCTACCATATTCCTTGTTTAATGGTTTTAGATTTATTAATAGTTATATAAATTTTGACTTAAAGGAAAGTTTACATAAATTATAGATTTTCTTCTCAATGTAAACTAAATTATAAACATTTTTCTGGTTTTTTGTGCATTTAAATATTATTTCATTCTCCTCTGTAAACACTTATACTTAAATTTATTTAAATAATTTATATAAACTGTATTAAAACTATATTAAATAAATAAAATATTTCAGGTTGCTAGTGCATTGTATGAAATGGGCTGTTATGAAATATCACTTGGAGATACAATTGGGGTTGGAACTCCAGGAACAATAAGACCTATGTTACAAGAAGTTTTGAAAGTTGTGCCTATTGAAAGTATGGCACTTCATTGTCATGATACTTATGGGCAAGCTCTTTCCAATATTCTTACTGCACTAGATGTAAAAGAAAATATTTACTATATAATTCAATATTAATAATATTAGTCATTTTATAATTATTATGTTGTTTTGTAGATGGGCGTTTCAGTTTTTGATGCATCTGTAGCTGGTCTCGGAGGTTGTCCATATGCCAAAGGAGCATCTGGAAATGTTGCTACAGAAGATTTAGTGTATATGTTAGAAGGTATGAATATTGAAACAGATGTAAATATAGAAGCATTATTAAATGTAAGCAGATATATAAGTGAAGAACTGAATAAAAACACTGAATCTAAAGTATCTAGAGCATTATCTGGAAAAGAAAAACCACTCAAATTTCTTCAGACATATAGGAATCAGTCATTACTGAGAGTTGTAAAATAACTAAATGATTGATTATTTATAATTTGTTGACTATTCCATTTAATTTTTTACGTACAATGATATTGATTATTTATAAGACTGAGTATAATTATACATGATATTTTGTTTGTGAAATGTGTAAATTGTAATGTGATCTTATTATTTTACTATTAATTAGGATAGATAATTTTTAATATTTTACTATGAATTTTCTATTTTTCCTAATTGATTTTATACTTTTGTGATATTTATTCATTATTTATAATCTAGTTGTGTTAATAAACATTTATCTATTGATACTAGTGATGATGATATTAAATTACTAAAATTGTACGTACTGTACTGTGAATAACATATTTATTTGTATAGATTTTTGGATTTAATATACTCCTTGATAAATGTTCATTCTATGCATTAATTTTTTAATCCTTTAAATTGTTAAATTTTATTGAAGAAAAATAAACAACTAAGCAAAAGTTGAGAAAATTACCCCTCGCATTTTAAATTATAACATAATTTAAAATACGAGGGGTAATTTTTAGTATATAGTAACTTATAACATAATTATTATTAGTTTATTAGGATAAGATAAGTAATTATTTTATTATTAATGTGTATGATATTAAATATTTACATACTTATTTCCGCACATTAAGTTGCCTATATAACAACTTTTATTTTCATATATATTTTTAACTTACAACTAGTTACGAATTATTACTATAAAGCTTTTAACCCCGTTAAAATTATTAAAAATGTTTAATTGAATTAATTATCTTTATGAAAAATTGAATAACATTAAAAAAAAAAACGAATACTTGTTAATTTTCTTTTTCATAAGTAACGTTTCAATTTACATTGAAGAAAAAAATTAGGTATGGTTATTCTTAGGTCTTCATTATAACTATTTAGCCAAAAAAAACATAATTTATGTAAATTTTACTCTAAATATTTTATTTAACAATATCAAAACTATTTATTTTGAAACAATTTATTTTATAGATATTCTTTAGAACTTATAACACGATTTTAAATTATTTAAATTGGTTTATTATGTCACAAAAAATCATATCCTCTCTTTATTATTTATGTCTTACAATTTTTTTTCGTTATCCAAATTCGAGGAAGTGTAAATTGGTAATTGTGCTCGTTATAAATGATCTTGTTATTCATTGAATTTTTAAACTTAAATTATATTATTTGGAATTAAAAAAAAAGGCCATGAAAAATGAATAAAAAAATTATTACTTTAAAAATGTCTTAGTTATTTTTTGAAACGTTATTTTAGAGTGATATACAATGGAATATTGACTTAATTGTAGTTCCTAAATTCCATTACAAACAATTTTTTCTGTTTAAAATTAAAATTTTTTTTGTTATATGACTGATTTTTACATAACGCTATCTATTGTTAAATATATTATAGTTTTGTGAATTATAAATGATGTTTGTAAATATGTATTAAATGGCAGGAGGACATTTAAAATATTTAATATGTAAAATACATTATACATGCAAAAGTAAATTTCAAAATTTATTTATTTAATTATTACTAATATTCGAATACGTAGGCGTTATTACTAGTATTACACTATGGATGGGCAATGCTATACAAAGTTTCTATTAAAAATTAATTTTATCTTAATATCTTCATGTTTAATAAAAATAATAATATATATTGGTAGTAAACAAGTTAACATTATTCTTAAGATACATATCAATACTTAATGCCAATTAGAACATTGTTATAATGAGTAAGGAGGGAAGGTAGGGTTTCAATCGCCTAACCTCCCCTAGGTTTATTATTAAAAAAAAATATATATTTCTTAGAAAACAACCTTAGAATACTTTAATTTATCTCAATAGAATAATTATAATCGAAAAAAAAGAATTATACATTTTTTTAATTATGTTATATTTCCTCATTAAAAGCCACAATACTTACTCAAAGACGCTACTGGTAATAATTTTAATTTGGTAAAATAGTTGATATAATGTATTTAACCGGATTGAATTAATCACATGATAACTGATTGTGAAAATTATATTAAAATAAAACTCCCTAATAAATGTTTATTTTATAAAATTTTTATTAAAAAGTTTAATATGAATAAGAATTTTCTTCAAACGAGGAGAGACTACAGTGATGGGGTTCTCGACAATTATTGAAGTTATTGAATCTAAATGAGATAAATATCCATGACGTTAAAAATTTTTCTCTGTCTCAAAAACTTTTGTAATGTATTTTAAAATAAAATAAAATACATAATCGAGAATTTTAACACAAAATAACCCAGCACAGTGGGGTCGTGGCATAGTTAGGTCCAGTATAGATAATATCTGACAGTGATTAAAATCACTATCATAAAAAACGCTTTGATGCAAATCTGTAGATAGTGTTTAATTTAAAAAAAAAAAATTTGTTAAAATAGCATATTTTTGAATACGGTAGCCATTTGCGCATAGAAGATAGGTCGTCGAGAAATTTTTTATTTTTTATTTTATAGTACATAAAATAAGCTTTAATTTGATATATGTTTAAAGGACGCAGTATTCCCGGAACATTTTCAAAAATTAAGTTGAAAAAGTTAGTTTTTGTAAAAAAGTTGCTATTTTAAATCCCCCCTCTATGAGCAGGTTAAGTGTTAGATTTTCAACAGAATGATATCAAACAAAAGGGAAATATCTAAGGTTTAGTAGAAAAAAAAATTATGTTGATTTGTTTATTTTTCAAAAAGTTATGGAAGTTTTAAGAAAAAAAAGTGAAAAAAATGACAAAATTTACCGATTTTTAAATTTGTAATTTTTTTGGATATTTCCCCCATTTTCGGGGAACGAGAGAATTTTTTTCAATTTTTAATGGTAATGTCTCCAACTAGATACGATTTGTGATCTTTTGACGTACTTTTGAAAGAAATCGGTCCAGTGAGATCTGAGAAAAAGTGGCAAAAGACATAAAAAAAAAAAAACACATCATAGTAAAATTAATACCTTCTCAGCTTCGCATCGAAGCTCATAGCATATTTCTAAATACGGTAGCTATTTTTACCATAAAAGTAAAATAAAGTTAGACATTTTTTTTTCCGTATTAGAGTACATTACATAAACTTTAATTTAAGATATATATAAATAAGAGTCAGTATTTCTGGAACAATTTCAAAAGTAAATTTTCTACTAGTTTTACCCTTTACTAGAAAAAGGGTAAAGGGTCAGATAAAAAAAAAATTACCAAATTATAGGTTAATACTTAATATATCTATTAAAAAAATTGTATTGATCCATACATTTTAAAAAAGTTATGGCAGCAGGGGCGTATTCACATATTTTCCGCCCATAAGCATTTAAAAATTTCATTACGTTATGACTGAGGGGGCTCATTTTTATATATTTTTACTATAACACTACTTATTCTTCCTCAAAAAAAAATAAGTATTTAAAAATATTTTCAAGCACATTTATGTTTATTAATAAATCACAAGATAAATTGCTTGTAGCTATTAATATACATATCATAAATACACAATAAATAAAAACGATTATGATAATTATGAGGAAGTCAATATGTCATAACAACAATAAACATATAACTCGCTTTTTATAAATATGTTGTCATTCAATATTAGGCTGTTGTAAATATGCTGTTGTAGGCAGTTGCCTATATTTCCTTCATATAAATACGTCGATGTATGGCTATATTAAGTAACAAAAATTGAAAAAATGTCGAAAATTAGCCATTTTTAAATTTGTAATTTTTTTTTAGATTTCCCCCATTTACGGAGAACAAGGGAAACTTTTATAATTTCTGAGGGTAATGTCTTCGGCTAGACACGATTTGTGATCTTTTGACGTATTGTTGAAAGAAATTGGTTCGGTGAGAGCTGAGAAAAAGTGGTAACAGACACAAAAAAAAAATAAAATAAAAACGCATCGCAGTAAAACCAATACCTTAGTATAAATTAATATAAATAATATTAGTAAATATAGTATAAATAATAAATTAATAGCTTCGCATCGAAGCTAAAACAATATGACGAAAATCTTTTAATAATTGAAGAACTAGTTAAAAAAGTATCATTTACATCTTCCAGGAATTATAAATTTCAAAATAGAGAATAATTAGGTAAATCTGGATATGAATATTTTAATGGTATAAAATTATAACAGTTAAAAACCATTACAAGTATAATAAATTCAGTGGAACAATGACTTTTATGTCGAAAATATACCCAGTAACAAGTTTGAAAAATCAACCAAAATCTATGAGACGTAGGTACATTTTGTTATAGTTTGAATATAGAATAAAAATGTCAAATAAAGTAATGTTTATTATTAACAATAGAACTAAGTTCTGTCCAGGGGTTCAAATAAATTCTCTGTTATAGAAATACGACATGAATATTAAGAATATTATACAAATATAATAAAACATATATTATCTTATTATCTGTTGATTTTATCAACAAAATATATTCATACAAATGAAAAATATATTGCTATATGTCACTGTAATAATTTAGATATTTTATTTTACCGAATATTAATATTTTACAATTAATTTACAGAAAAAGGATTTTTCAATATTGGTAACAGTAAAATAACCGTATAAGGCATGTGAAAACAAAATCATTATTTTTTTAAATATTTACAAGTATTAATGATAATTTAAGTTTAATAAAAATGTCTAATGCATTAATAATTTCTTGTAAAATTATAAATTATTGTTTATGAAGTAGTAGGTAAAATGTATCACACTTATTAAACTATTATAATAGTAATATCTTAAGAGCAATACCAAAAGACGCGAGAAATATTGAATTTATGAATTTAATGAAATCTAAAAAAATAAATTACATGATGAACTTGAAGAGATTATTTAGTCATCAGTACATTTTGATCAATATTTTAACGACTTTTAATTACTAATTAAAATTATTATCTACTCACCATTTACCCGACATTTAGAATGTCAGTGATAAGGTACCCTATAGAATTATCTATTAACGTAATAACGTTAAAACGTATTAACGTAACACTTCAACTAAAATAAAATTTCTCAAAATACTATTGGATCTAAATAATAAAATGTAAAACAAAAATTTTTTTAATAATAGTACTTATTTAATGTCTCTTACGGTTCTACTAATGCATCAGCCGAAGAAGTTTTAACAATTTTATTTAGCACATCATTTGAATAGTGTGAATGAAAATAACGACAGTCACTATATACAATTATTATTCAATTCTACTTTCACTAAAATAATAATAGTTACTGTTTTTGCTATATAAAAAAAATATTTCAAAACAAATATTAAAAAATAAATACGCAGTCATCGTTTTATTGATATTAAATAATAAGCAAGTTGCAGCAGTTTGTGTAGATTTATAACAAAATTAACTACGCGTTA